ACCTCCAATGAGTAATACCTCCACTGAGTACTATCTCCACTGAGTACTACCTCCACTGAGTACTACCTCCACTGAGTACTACCTCCATTGCCACTGGCTTCAGGAGCTTCAACTCTTGGTTGTTTAGTTGTACAATGACAAGACTTTTTTTAATGAACGTAAACTGGACGGTGTTTTTGACATTTTCATCGCTGTTTTGTGACAAGTTGGTGCCGTCGTTTTGATACGTGACATGGGCCACGTGATCAAACCATCAAACATTTCTCTCGTATTTTTAATAAATAATCTAAAATTTATTAATGACCACCTTAACATGTAAAACTGATTTGCAATCCAGTTGCGCTGTTTAATTATATTTTTGTGTTTTTAATTAAATTGCCCATGACTGAACTTTTAGGGGCAGAGATTTTTTTACAGGTAGAAGCAGAAATGTTTACTTGAAGGAGCAGCTCTGATGTGATGCTCGTAAGAGGCTGTTTTTAAAATCAGTGTTTATGGAATTATTTTCAGATTACGTTTCCATTGTAGGTTTTATTTGTTCAAGGCAGTCAAATTTGTTCATAACTTTATTATTAGTAAGCCTGAGAGTTACTGGATCCAAGTAAAAAGTTACCGGAACGCACCCTTTCAAAAAAGAGTTTCCGGATCCTGTTCCAGTAGGATCCGGCTCAAATCAAGCCCCGATCATCTTGTTTCTTTTGTCAGATGTAACCATGGCTGCTCGTTGGCCTGTCACTGCATCTCTTCACCTTAAACTTTTTAAGGCTCTGACTTTGAAAACTGACCACGAACTTTCACAGAGTCAATCGATGCAGCGAGAGGAAGAGTCCAGAAAACTTTCAGCCGCTGACGTTCTAATCAATCCTAATGAAATGAATCTCCTTTAAATTAGAATCACGAGGATGAGGCTCCGGAGTCCATTGATCTTCAACCTTTCAGATGTGGCAGCCACTCAACCCAGAAAAAAATAATTAATGTTCAAACGTTTCTCTTCCTGCAGATTTATTCTTTCCTTCCTAAACGTAGTCGTATCCATAAAACCACGATGAGGACGTAAGAGTAGGACACTCGCTGTCACCGCGTTGTCTTTCAGCAGAAGCAGCAACTAAACGTTTTCTCACCAAACTTAAAATGAATTTTCAGTGGGTACTTTAAGTGGTAATGGCATATTAATGTATAAAAACATTTAAACGGTATGTTCAGGGTACGTCTTTCATGAGAACGGTAAAGCCTCACGGTGGGACTGAACTGTGGCGTGCAGCAGACTGGCACCAGAAGAAGAGTCGCACACAGGAAGTAGTTCTTCAGATAACGACTGTACAGACGCCTGCGGAAGAACCACTGACCACAGATTCGACCCTGCTGCTCGTCCTCCTTTACAAAACTCAACTTATATTTTAAGCTCAGTCCTGAAGGTGAAACAGTTCTACCCCCCCCCCCCTTTAGTTTTGAGATCCAGGCTTCACGTCAAACATCAGAACAGGATGTGGCCGAGTCGATTGGTGATTTAGAACCAACAAGAGGCTCAGCTCACCCCCCAATGAGAATCCTTCACATTTCACTTGAAGTGATGCTGACAGCTGCCTGCTGCAGGTAAGATACTGCCTGCTCATGAACACAACATGACTTTAAAAGGGTCAAAGTCTCTTTAAGACTTGTGCAGATGTTTTATACATGAATGACTGAACCCAAGTTTTTAACAGCCCCCCCAGATCTCTGTCACTCTCTGCAGCAGCATTCACTCAGTGCCGACAGTCCGTCTGCCTCTTCCAGGGAGCAGCACTCAACATGCCCTGCTATTAGGCTGTCAGTCAGTCAGGCCAATAGAATAAATGCCATGGATTAGGCCGACGGGCTCGGGGGGGGGGGGGGGGTGATGGACAGAATACTAAACAGATGCAGGCCACGAGGTGACAGACGTCATACAGCTCTCTTTCTTTAACGGCTGAGGAAACTCTTCCAGCCACTCAGACAATCGATACCAGACGTGATCAGCTCACTCATTTCTTTGATCTCATCTTTTTTTCAAATATTCCTCCTTTTTTTTTCTTCTCCTCCTTTCGGACAGGAGTGATGGACGACAGCCTCGTCCTCTCACCTCCTTCGTGTCTCGGAGCTCTTCTGCAGACTTCTCGTCCACATCTCGTCTTTTTTTAAACCGTTTCTTCTCCTCCGTCGTCTTCACCTTCGCACGTCCGCTTCTTGTTTTTTACGTCGCGCTCCGCACTCATCATGTAAAGAGATTTCTAACTGACCTGTTAAATTTAATACAAAAGACAAAGTCTTCTCCTTGTCCCGTCAACAAGGAGACACCCCCCCACCCCCCCCATCCTCCTGGTTTCTCCTTGGTTCTCTTCATTTCCCTCTCTCCTCTTTTCGTCCTTGCCGCCAGAGAAATCTAATTAGATAGAACATAAATTGTAAATGTGTTTCCTTGAACGCGCCTCAGTGCCCATCACCTCCAGGTCTGAGCGGACAGTCCACCGTCGACACGGAGACGTGGACGGAGACGTTGGACATGTTGATGATGTCAATGTCGGACAGAAAGAAGCTGAACTGCAGGATCAGCTCACCTGAAACCAGCTGCAGGTGAGTCTGTTCAAGAAAGCAAACCCCACAAAGACCAAATGACCTGAAACTGACTAAAATATTAACAAAGAAGAAATTATTCAAAGTCACCTGAGGATCAGATTACAGTTCAACTGACTTCATGCTTATAACAAACTAATGAAACTGGCCTTGATGTTCTGTTACAGAACCTTTGAGATAATCAGAGCATTCTGCACCAGAACACCTGTCCACAGGTCTTCTGGTCCTCCTGACAGAAGGAGGTCTCCTCAGTGTCTCGTCGAGTCTCTAAGGATGAGATCCAAATCTTTTTGTTGGTTTCAAGTTATTTCAGAGAACTTTGTGGGTTTTCCTTCTTTAACAAAAGGTTAAAACAATTTGATCTGGGTCTACAACTGCAGGTCCATCAGAGCTCGTCCGTTAAAGAAAATAAATCTGTTGGTCAGTTTGTCCCTGCAGGGGACGGGCGAGACAAACTGACAGGGAGATTTTTTTAACTTCGTTACGGCTGAATGAAGCTTTGCTCACATCAAAAAAGGTTGAATCATGTCATCTGGACTTCGTAAAAAACGAAGTCCAGATGACATGATTCAACCTTTTTTGTTGTTATATACCTGGATGACTGAGAAAACAAACTTTGTGTTTTTGCTCACATCCTTCTGAAACCCAAACGGCAGCGAATTGAAGAGGGAGACAAAAGGAATCACCAGAAACTCTCAGGTCACTCTGAAGGTTTGTGTGACTGAGAAGCAGAGAGAGAGACTGTCCGTGAAGGCACCACGTGCAACAACATCGCCCTCTAACGGCTCACAGAGGAACGACAGGCTGCAAAACGAATCTTTTCCAAACAGCTTCCACCAAAAAGAAACAACAAAATGTTAAATTCAGATGTGAGGATGGAGCTTCAAGTTCCAAGAAATTACTCTGATTTGGCAAAGAAGCATCAAAATGATCACTTATTAAAAGAAAGCCTAAACCTGACGATGAATTCACACAAAAAGCTTTATTTCAACACAAATCTGTGCTGATGCGAAGTGAAAACTCAAAGCAGTCTGCTCCTCAGATGAATAATGTTACACTATTATTTTTATATTTGAATGTTCAGTGCCTGAGATGAATTCCGTTGTGACTTGGAGCTTTAGAAATAAACTGAAGTGAAATGTAAGTTTTGCTGAGCTGCATCTTTACGCACAGTGGCTCCGCGGGTGCACACAGTCCTGCCTTCAGAGAGGCCTCTCTGGGCTCGGACGAGCCATGAATAGCAAACAGAGCTGAGAGACGCGCGCACATCTCAGGAGCCTCGTGCACATCTCAGGAGCCTCGTGCACATCTCAGGAGCCTCGTGCACATCTCAGGAGCCTCGTGCACATCTCAGGAGCCTCGTGCGTCACCACAAACCAGCACCGAACCAGAGAGGAGACATTTCTGTTCGTGTTTTTACTTCAAGTTTTTATCATCACGCGCGTTTCTTTCATGTTTTCATGCAAACTGTTGTTTTGTTGTTGTTGTTGTTTTTAAATTAATCTGTTTAAATGAACAAATAAATGAGGATCTCTCCGAACCGTTCCCGTGCGTAACAAGTGCCGGAGGAGCAGAACCGACTCCACAGCTCGTTCCCGGACCGGTTCGGATGGCAGATGGATTTTCGGATCCTAAGTTTATCAGATCAAATCTCATAAATCTTAGGTCAGACTTGATGTTTGTCTGATTTCTGATTTGAAATCATCTTTGCGCTCAGACGGAGCTGCGGCGCGTCCGAACACTTCAAGGCAGAACAAATGTATTTGATCAGAACCAGATCCAGTTCTGACCAGGAACGGGTAAGAAATGTTTCAATGAGTTTTAAAGAGCAGCAATGTTCCGAAGAGTCCAGAACTTCCCTGCGGAGCCCGTGCGCACACACCGGGGGCAGCTGAGCCCCATCAGAACTCCACCAGACCAGAACCTGCAGCTTCACATTTATTTTCTTCTACAAACATCTGCTGCGTAAACTTTTCTGCACAATTTCATCTCACATTAAAAAAACACCCAAACTGGACTTCAGCAGAGGTTTTATAGAACCGAACCGTCTGCAGAGCTCAGAGCCCACATGTCCACCTGACAGCCCAGCAGAACCTCATAATGAAGCAGCAGAACCCTCCAGAACAACTAAGGCTTTCCTACCTGGGAAGAACTGTCCGTCAGTAAATCCAAAAAGTCCCAAGAAAAACAAGAACGGTGTCAAAGCGAGACAATTACTCCGTTCATCCATTTCTTCTGCCTTGTCCCTCTTCTGGTTCTGGTTCTGTGGCACCACCTGGGTCTTTTACATATCCGGTCTGGTCCGTAGCGTCCTCAGTCCGGGACACAAATTAAATCCGCGCATTGGAGGAAAAATCTCAAAGTTGAAGCGAAGCGACAATAAGTTGGAAGCTGCTCTCCTCCTGGGTCCGACAACAGGGGAGTGCGCGTCACTGCGCGTGCATGTGTGCGTGTGACAAGGAGACGGAGGGAGCAGCGTGCGCGTGCGCTCAGACTCGTCTGACACACAGCCGAGCTGTTGGAGAGGACTGAGGAGCAGCGCGCACCACGCCGGGTGCCAGATCCGCGCGTAAAGACGCGCAGTTCAACGCGCGCAACGCTTCCGGTGAGGTGTTTCAGAGTAAAAGGACGCAGCAGCGAATTTCACAACAAAAGGTCATAAAGCAGAATCAGAAGTTTAAATATTTTAGCGAGATTTTAGAAAAATAATCTGTTAAATTTTTAAAAATCCAATTTATTTTAGGGTTTAATTCTTAGACTTCTGGTGCTGGACCACTGGACGACCCCTCCCCCAGCCTCCCCCTCCTCTAGGAGTCTCAGCTCCTGGTGTCCTCTGGGTCCCTCCGCCTGCCTGCTCCGCAGATCTGATCCGCGTGTCTCCGTCCTCTGTCCTCCGTCCTCTGTCCCCTCATCAGATCCTTTAGACCGCGCTCATTTTTCACTTCTGGTTTCCTCTGCCCAACATTTAAAACAGTCAGCTGACCTGAGAACCTTCAGGGGTCATGGAGAGTTTACATGTGGAGGAAATAGAACCTCCTGCTCCTGCTCGACCTTCATGACAGATTCAGATCTGCCAGGAATCTTTAAAAACTGACCTGAAATCACCGGCTTGTCTGTTTTCATGAAATTAGACTAACTCAGAACACACGACGTGCACACACAACGTGCACACTCACAGCCAAACATTCTAACGTTTTTAAAAAGTAAAATAAAAGTGTAAAAACGTCATATATGCAGCTGCAGAACCTGGTCTGGATCATAGTGGTTCTGGATGCTGCCGGGCCTGTTCGGGGGCCAGCAGGGTTAGGGATGGGGGCTCTTCTCATCCTAGAGGAAGTAGCATTTGCTGCTGTTTCCTACAGGCGACACCCCCCAGGAACCATCACCTCCACAGAGACAGGTCGGGCCCGGACAGCGATCTCCTCGTTTTGTTCAGTCCACGTTCAGGACCAGGACCAGCCCAGCAGCTGGTCTTCCTCCTCCCTGTTCTGGTCCTGATGAGGTCCATCACCCTGTGGTTGGTGCAGCCCTGAGGACGCAGTCGTGTCCAAAATAGTCAAATGTAAATTGTGTTTAACTCAACATGAATCACTTCAGATCCTTTACTCTCTCGTTCGGTCCTTCCCATCACTTTTCAACCAGCGTGTCCATTTTGAGCCTCAGTTAAATCCAGTCAATAAAAGATCAGTGCAGCTGCCTGATCAATAAATGATCAATAAATCCTCTGAGTTCAGTCTTTTTTAATAAATCCACTTTAAAACAACGAATGACAATATAAACTGTCAGCCATGAAGATGTTCCTCTGCTTCCTCTTCAAGATCTCCTCAGGTGAATGTTCTGAAGCCGAGCGTGTGCCGGGTCCTCCCGGGCCTGACGCCCCTCAGAGGTCCCTGCTGGCAGCCTGTTCCAGGTGAGCATGGCGAGCGGCTTTACCCTGAGCAAATGTCACTCTGCCGTTTGGGGGGGTCTGGGTGTTATTTACCTCGGAGCTTAACGGAGCGCAGTTCAACACGAAGGTCTGCAGAACCAAGTGGTGACTTGGCTGTTTGAAGAAGATCCGACTTCACAACGGTTTCTGGTTCATGAACTAACACAAACTGTTGGGATGTTATTCACTTCCTGCTGCGTGTCCTTCATTTACAGAACGCCGTTCGTGTTGCAAACATAACCCGTCTTACCTGAAACCAAATGAGTGTAAACAGAACCAAGGGCCTGTTTTAGAGACGAGGACGTCACTGACAGACACAGATTGTTGAAATTAGATTGAACAAAACAAAACGTTGCAACACAACTCCAGGACCAAGCTGCAGGAAACCAGCAACGCTGAACTGGTGGGTGGAGCAGGACTGTACAGACTGGGGCGGATGAGAAGAGTGGCTGCAGCTGTGACTGATGGAACAAGGAGCAGGTGTGAGTGCCCCCCCCCCCCCCCCAATCATTTGAGGAAGCTATAACAATATAAAACCTAGGAAGAGATTTCTAAACGAGGATGACCAGTTTACATATTGGTATATGGTGGTGGCGGCCATCTTGGATTTGGACATGGAAACACCATTTTCAAAATAAACCTTTCTTTCAGCTAAATGCAGCCACTCACCAAAATAAAAGTCCGCACCTCACTTACTGTTCAAGTTGTCGTGCTCACGACATATGACGGGACATTCTTGTAAAAGAGATTAATAATCTCAATGGATTTTTTTCTTGGTAAAAATAAGGTTTGAATTTTAAAAATGTACGTATGGACGGCCAGATTTATTAAACTTTATTGAAGCAGGTAAATCTCATTCAGATCACAGATCTCTTGTAAGAGAAGCCTGAGCCTGACGGCAGAATAACATGCATGCTTCTGGTCTGTGAGAGGAAACAGGAGTACCTGGAGAAAACCCACACAAGCACGAGAAGAACATGGCAAACTGCACCCAGAAAGACCTCAGGTCCGACCGGGGATTGAACCCAGGACCTTCTTGCTGTGAGGCAACAGTGCTAACCACTGAGCCATCATGCTGCAGGAAGTTTATCCTGCAGTAAGGGCTGCACAAAGGAGCAGGAGGTGCTAAATAATTTAAAATAATTCATTTTAAATAAACATTTCGTGCCGATCATGCGGCTCATCCATCAATCAGCCGATTGTGTGTCATGTCCAGTCTTATTTTGAAAAACCACGAAAGAGCGAGTCCGTGATAAACGAACCAGGAAGTAGCGAGGGACTAGAGGATGACACAGGACTGGATTTTCACGAGGGACTGCTGTAGTTCTCTTCGCTCCACGGCAGGGTTCAACAAACTGGGATGAAAACTGCGTTCTGTCATCTGGACCTTCACTTTCTGAGTTCTCCAACAGGCTGCAGAACTCTGGGGCTGTAGAACCTGAAGGTCTGCGTCCAGTATGACCCCCACCCCACCCCCACCCCGGCCAACCTTCCTCTGAGTTTCTGAGCTGACAGCTAATGAATATTTCCATTAGTGATGCAGAGATCAATGTCTCATTAACATGAGGGGGTTTGTCTGAGCCTGGAGGAGCACACGAGCCTCCTCCTCACCTCCTCATCATCACTCCTTTATTACAGACCAGATGCAGAGCTGAAGCACTTCGGTCTCCGCTCGTCTCACTCTCGAGCAGACCAGTCTGCTTCGCTGGAAAGTTGAGTTTGAATAAAGTCAGAAGATAATCCCAAGAGGTCCGGAGCTGAGATTCAGTTTTACAATTAAAACATCACAACAAACTCAGGGTGGTTGCAGGTAAAATGATTCAGCTGCTGTTCCACCTCCAAAAGCTCTCAACGTCCTGTTCCACCTCCAAAAGGTCTCGACGTCCTGTTCCACCTCCAAAAGGTCTCAACGTCCTGTTCCACCTCCAAAAGGTCTCGACGTCCTGTTCCACCTCCAAAAGGTCTCAACGTCCTGTTCCACCTCCAAAAGGTCTCAACGTCCTGTTCCACCTCCAAAAGGTCTCAACGTCCTTGTTTTGGACTGGGTTCAGATGTGAGGCGTCCCAGTGTGGAACCGCTGATGTTCATGTGAAAAGTCATCAGAACCAGGAATTGGACGTTTAGATCCTTTGAAGGATTCTGCTCTCCACCGTGAGGAGACCCCGACACGGATCCAAACCAGGACTTGTAGAATCCTCAGGTGGAGATCTTCCTGTTTGCTTGAATTTCTGTACAGAGAAATTAACTTCTGAGTCGTTTTCCTGTTTTTAATACACTTTGTTTTGCTTTGGTGTTTCGTTGGTTTTAGTTTTTCTCCAAGTTTTCATAAAAAAGGTGAATCCATAAGTTCATGCAAACAGATCCAGACGGCTGCGTCTCACCAGGCGGGGACTGTTGGAGCCAACGTGCAACAGCACCAATTCATTTTCACCTCAAGTCTCTCCACAGGAAGTCCAGGAGAAATCTGGGTCAATGTTTGTCTTACGTTCACACACACACACACAACCATTCGTGTTTTTGCTACAAAGTGAGGACCAAGTAAATAGACCAGCAGAGTGAGGACCACTAGTTCTGAACTACTTAGAAAGAGTGTATGATCAATTTTGGACACTAGATGTCACCCACACCCTAAACACTCCCTCAGATATTGCAGAACAGCAACATTCTGAAAAAAGATTTTAGCCAGCAAAGTGAGAACCTAATAGTGTGTGAAAAAAGTTTTTAACCAGCCAAGTGAGAACTGTTTATTGTGTGAATGCTTATTAAGCACTAATCTTCTGTTCTACTATTTTAAATGTCAGTTTAAGTTTTTTAGGTCTGGTTTACTTTCACATTAACTATATTTAACATATTTTCTGTATTTTTTTAACTAATTTTTAACCAATTTACCATTTGTTAAGCTAGTTTTATGTTGCCTACAGTTCTCTTTAAACCTGTTTAACACTTTAAAGGGTTATTCAGCCTTTTATAGTTTCTGTTTCTAGAGGTTTTAGGCCAGTTCAACTATTTGTTTAACCATTTTCAATTTGTGTTCAAGCTTGTTTTTAGTATTTTATAATTACTTCATTTGTGTGGCTATTTTAAAATGTTTTCTTTATTTTTTTAACTAATTAGTAACCAATTTAACATTTGTTAAACTAATTTTAGCTTCCTTGCAGCACTCTTTTAGCTTATGTTTAACAATTTAAAGGTCCATTCCATCTTTTAAAGCTTCTGTTAAGCTTTTTTTTTGTCTTGTTGAACCATTTTTTCATTTTTCAGCTAAATTCAGATGTTTTAGCAATTTTACAGCAAATTTCAACTTATCTTGATATTTTGCTATTTTGATTTTTTTACACTCTTTTCACTATCTGTGGGCCAATTTCAAATTGTTTCTGGAAGTTTTAGCTTCCTTTTCCTACTTTTAGCTACTTTCAGCCTTGTTTAGCACAGTTCAGCTGCTTTTCATTTCACATGTTTTGTGCTGAATTAAGTTCTTTCACCTTAAAATCAGAATTTTAAATATTGAGTTCACTCTTGATGGGGTTTTAGCCAAAAGTGATCAGTACCACATGCTGAAAGCTAATTAGTATGTAAAAAATCTAACAAAGGTAATA